CAGCACTGGACACAGTACTCCAGATGAGGCCTCACCAGGGCAGTGTAGAGGGGAAGGAGAACCTCCCTCGTCCTGCTGGCCACACTCTTCTTGATGCAGTTGTTGAGGGCAGTGAAGTGCATTCACGAAAGACAAATTGTGGATCCGTGTCTGGGAGCGGCTGGCTCTCTGGAGAGCCTTTGTGCCATCCAGGATGAGATGTCCGCAATCCAGAGAGCTAAAAGCCACCTTAACTAACAGCAGGCATTTCACAAACACTAGTCCTCTTAGGCAGGGAGAAATCTAGGCTGGTTTTTGAAACATGGAGCTGACCATCAGACCCGAGCAAGGAGTGAAAAAATGTGCTCAGCCTTACGAGGAGAATCTGAAACGTTTGGGGATTTTCCCCACCAAGCCTGCCATTTGCCAGCCTGGAATCGCAGGTGTGGAGTGTGGAAGTGGTGAGTGATGCTGAAAGAGTGGGAGGGGATGGGGTATCATCGCTCGCACCTTAGCTGGAACGGTTGAGCCCTGAGCCTGGCTTGGTTCGGGCAGCCTGCTCTGTCCTGCTCTGGCCAGGGGAAGGCTCGGCTGCTGCCCCGGCGGAACCGGCTCCCGGGAACCGGCCCCCGCGGGCTGTGCTGCTCTTCCTCCAGTGCAACGCACGGGCAGCCATGTGGGAACCACTTCTGCATTAGACTTGCTAATTCCAGTTTTAATTTTAATTGTAATTTTATTTTATTATTCTTTTTAATTCCAGTTTTGCACCCGTGTCGCTTCAGAACCTTTTGACACCAAGTCTATTCTAGATCTTAATAACTCTGACCTGCTAAATGTACAGTTTTCTCCCAAATTACAGCTAATACCTTTCATAATAGAAAAGTTATTATAGAAAAACTTCAGAAAACACCTCTAAACATTCCCTTTTCCTTTAGTGTCTTTTTAAGCCTTCATAACCTTACGCTTCTTACGTCAACTTTTGTTTAATTTGTCCCGTAGGTTTTTGCGCTGGCTGAGAGTCTGGGAGGATACGAAAGCCTGGCAGAGCATCCGTAAGTCAGCCTTCATCTTAGAAGTCTGAAGAAGCTGCAGAGTTACAGACAAGTTTCTGATCTGTTTTATGGGAGTTGTAAAATGTTCTAGTACACAAAGCCAAGCTATTTTGCGTAGAAGCGAGACTCGGGGATAGTGTTTTGCACAGCACAAAACCCAGTGGCTACTCCAGAGATGGGCATGACTTTTGTGAGTGTGGGAGTGCAGCGAGGAGAGAAATTCCACGCTTCCTTGTTTTAACTGGGAGACTGAGCTGCAATTCGTGGCTGTGACAACACGGCCAAGGGCTCGGCGGGTGTCTGAAGGAGCAGTGTGGAGCGGGTTTGGTCACGCTGTTGAGGCCGGGTCTGCCGTTCGGCCGGCTCACACAAGAGGGCACGTTCAGTACGCGGCACCGCTCCGGGCTCCGCGCCGCGTGAAGTCACCCCAGACGTTAGCAGCACTTCCTTGCCTCTGTCTAGGTTAAAAGGCTAAACACAGGATTTTTGTGAGTGTTATTATTTTGCTTAAATGCAATTTGCTTTTCGAAAAGATACGTGGAAAGTTACGTGCTGAGTCATTGCACTTATTTTAGAATGACAGCAAATCTTGAGACACTTGAGCAGTTGAAAGGTATTTGCAAATTGGTGGACGTCTGTGATGGAGCATATGGGGGCAATAGCTTCTTGCCTATATCCTCCATAGCTGGAGAGAATAAACTCTTCAAAGTAAGTGGGTACAGTTTGACAACTGATTTAGAAACCAGAAGTTAAAAAACCAAACCAAATCAGGAGATTTTGTGCCGGAGATTGTATACTATAGCTCTTTCTCCATATGCTTAAAGCAGAGCTTTCAGATACTCTTTTTTTAGGAAAAAAAAGTATCTGGAAGAAAGAGGAGTAGGATTTTCTCCTTTTTGAGTCCCAGATTGTGAAGTATCCACTTCTTATTCATCGTTTGTAGCTTGGAAATAGCGTACTGAAATGCTGGGAGACACAAGTCACTGGCTCGTCTGCAGTCCGCACCATTTAGTGACTGATGATAGGACCTCTTTCTGGCTGTGAGTTAACCAGCAGGTGGTACACAGAGGGTGTAAAATCTGCGTGGAATTTCAGGGGATGCTGGCAGGAAACCAATTTGTTTGATCTTTACTGATAAAAATAAGCACTTCTTAGAAGAAAGTCTATTTTTTCCCTCCAGGGCCATCATGACTCACGCTTCAGTGCCTAAAGAAGATAGAGAAGCTCTTGGAATCAGTGATACATTGATCCGCCTGTCAGTTGGTTTGGAAGATGAAGAAGATTTACTGGAAGACCTAGATCAAGCTCTGAAAGCTGCAGTAAGTGGGCTGTTATCTGAGTGCCGTCACTCTAAAAAGAATTTCCCCTCCAGTCCTCTGCCTTTCTCACTAAACTGTCTCTAGGTAATTCCTACCTCGCTTAAACTACTCCTGAGCGTGCCTTGTGGAGCGTGTGTAAGGTTTGAAAGCTGTTGTTGGGGGGTGTCTCCGTGCAGCAAGGTTTACAGCCCTTGTCAGTCCCAATCTGAATTGAGGTAGATTCGGATGGAGCGGATGGGATGTCCCTGGCCTCGGCGTGATGGACGGGATGTCCCTGGCCTTGGAGCGATGGATGGGATGTCCCTGGCCTTGGAGCAATGGATGGGATGTCCCTGGCCTCGGAGTGATGGACGGGATGTCCCTGGGACGGGATGTCCCTGGCCTCGGAGCGATGGATGGGATGTCCCTGGCCTCGGAGCGATGGATGGGATGTCCCTGGCCTCGCCCTCGGGTGGATGGATGGGATGTCCCTGGCCTCGGAGCGATGGATGGGATGTCCCTGGCCTCGGAGCAATGGATGGGATGTCTCTGGCCTCGGAGTGATGGACGGGATGTCCCTGGCCTCGGCGTGACAGGGATCGCTGCTGGGGTCAGGCTGAGAGGAGACGCTCGTATAGGCATCGGGGTGCTTAGTGTGTGCTTCAGGTCCTTCATGCCATAGTTCTAGAGAGGGTTGAAATATATTAAGGAGCTTCAAGAAAAGAGCTTCTACCAGACAGTAAGTCCAATATTTGAGAAGTGCTATTTCGTTTCTGAGCACTGCTTCTACTCCTCCACCCAAAGGTCTCTATTTCAGACAACAGATTAGAATTGCTCCTTACCCGTGGTTATTACTGTGATGCCCTGCAGTGAATTTTCTTCCCGAGGCAGGTCACCTCAAAGGCGTGAGGTGTAGGGCGTTTGTGTACGAGCGCACACACGTGCGGGCGTGCAGGGGAGAGGCCGGTTAAACGTGTGCTGTCACAGAATCACAGAATCACACAGAACAGTAGGGGTTGGAAGGGACCTCTGTGGGTCATCTAGTCCAACCCCCCTGCCGACGCAGGGTCACCTACAGCAGGCTGCACAGGACCGCGTCCAGGCGGGTCTTGAATATCTCCAGAGAAGGAGACTCCACGGCCTCCCTGGGCAGCCTGTTCCAGTGCTCCGTCACCCTCAGAGGGAAGAAGTTCTTCCTCATGT